TAATAAGAAATATAAAAACTAGAAAGAATGAAAAGCTCAGACCGACAAATAACGGAATAAAATGATAAGGACAGGTTTTAAAAATGAAGATGGAATTCAAAGAAAATTCTGAACATGAAAATGCAATTGAAAGGAAAACCCCCAAGAGGGAGCAAAGGGTTAAAGATGTCAGACGGAAGAAAGAATGTGAAAGGAAACTGAAGAGGTGCTGTGAGATAACAGACTGATGGAGAGAGGCTTGGTTGAAACATGACCCACTTAAGTGGAAATGTCTTAACTCACCTAGCGGTGGCCTGGTCATAATCTGCAAAACCAGTATCTGGGTTCTTCTTTTTCTTTTTCCTGTCCAGTCGTTCAGCTTCGACGGCCTCAATGTGCAGCAGCTTGACGCGATCGTAATCTTCGCCCTGCAGCAACACAGCACATTGCCTATCATATGGTGGTTCATAATAGCTAGACTATGAGAAGCAGATACAGTCACAAGTGAAAGATCAAAGCTGAAATTTAATTTTCGTACATACACCCATGAAAGTGATATGAATAGCGGTAAACTGAGGCAACACTGTGCTGATAAACTGTGGGAAATTCTGTGGACATCATCATCATATACACAAGTGATGTACAACTATGGGGTCATGGGCGAGGTTTGTTTTACACAACATATACCAGAAGTGTGTGTGTTGTAACAGTTTTACCCTTTAAAGCCCAATGGTAACTATATGTCCCACCTGCTTAAACAATTTTGTACCTATGTGTTTCATATGATTCTTAGCGTAAACAGTGATTACTTCCTGAAACGGCACCAACCACTTGATATTTGTAATGGTTAAGTGTTATGTTTTCTTTGCAGTGTCGACTGAATACTTAAATATTTAGCATCATTGGCCTATCACATCATCATATTTACATAGTTTCTCCAGTATTAAAATACATACAAATACAAATAAGTAAAACCAAGTAAAAATTAATATTTATGTTGTGTGTTTCTTCAAAATGTAAAATGGTATTTTTTTATTCTCCCCCTATCCTCTACTGGCATAGGTTTGTCCATACAAAGCCTCTTTAGATATAAGGACAGACTGCACAGAATGGCCTTATTCTGAAATGGGATAGAAGTTACTTAAATAAGAGATTCTCTTATTCTTAAATGATGTGATTATCATTATCATTCCGATAGTGGAAGTACTATATGTTTTATCGTGGTCATTTCCTCCTTCCTTCATTTAATATAGGATACTTCTGAACTGTGTTTACTAGGAACTTTATAGCTAAGTTTTTATGTTTTAGCAATGGCAAGAATGGTAATTTATAATTACATCTGTGACTGAATAATGACTCATTTCTATTTTACAGTCAAATCAAGAAAACTGAGGGAGTTGTCGTTTTCCATTTCGCAGGTGAAATTAAGCAAAGGGTATTCACTGTATTGAATCTATGTTGGTTTTCAGTGATTTGTATATAATAAGAATATCATCGATATATCTAGAGTACTTTAAGAAATGGCATCATTTTGTTGGTATTGGTACTAGGTAATTATACTCAATTATGTTGTAAGAAAATATTAACAAATATTACTGTCATGACATAAATAGTATCGGTTCAAAACAAGTTTTGTAAGGGTCAAAATTTGTCAGATCAATGGTAGTTCCACATCTTTATGAAACAGACTGAGGCACTCGTATGATTCATTCAGTGTATTGTCTGCCATTTATCACGTATTGCCACATTTTAATTATTCTTTAGCTGTCAGACCAAGACACTGACTTTGGGTATTAGGTGTAAATGCCTTACATAAAAGGTAAATAACAGAATTTAAAAATACTGTGCGCTGGCTTGCTATTTATACCAGTTAACTCACTGGTGGTGTGCATAAGTATTATGTTACAGGAATTTTGCGTAAGTGTTGAAACTGGCTAGAACTTAATGCGGTGAAAAACTGGCACCAATTTTATATTTTATTATGAATGATGATTGTACTACAGCTCCCAGTAAGCTAAGGTAAAGTAACTAAAAAAGAGTCATGAGCATTTTAACAATTTTAATAATGTTTGACTTATGCTCTGCTTATTGACTACCAGAGGTATTTTTCAGCATTTTTCATAATTCTTATAGAAATGCATTAATTTTCTCAGGAAAATACTTACTTTCTCTTCAGCCTCTCTCCGCTTTTCCTCATCATTTAAAACCCACTCCCTCTGTCGTTTGCGAGCCTCCCAGTTGGATGGCAATTTGCTGCGCTTGTCTTCTTCCAGTACTTCTTTATGGTTCATTTGACGTGCCTCATTCTGAAAATACAGAATGATCCACCATTTATAAGACTCAAAAGTATTAAACAGCAAGTATAAAATGTGTTGGGTTTACATAACAAATCCAGTCAAAAAAAATGTAACTATTTGTACAATACAAACTTTACATACATAATATTCAATTAATCTGGAAATTGTGGAACAGGTTCCCACTACACCACAATGTAGAACAGGTGTTTTTATCTGATGAAAGTGCTCCATGTTTGAGTTACCATTCCTTACATCAGGATACAAAGATGGTGGAAGGTGTATAGTCATTACCATAATCAAACCTTACCTGATCTCACAACTGTAAACACATTAAGTTTTGACCAATCACAAACATGATATCAGATTAAATACATTATGTACTTACTCTCTTGATATGCAGGTCTCGTAGTCGCTTCATACGTTCTGCTTGCTTTTCTTTGAAAGACAACTGTTTACCCACCAAGTCTTCCATGTTTTGTATGTGTACTGACGCTCAACCAACTGTGTAATCTCCTGTAAAATACCATAAAAACATTATACGTCCACTGCCTGCTACCTTAAAATACCACACCAGTGCACATTTCCTGTCACTTTCTCATAAATTGTTGCTTACAACCAATCTATAACGTTATGTGAATCATACTCTTCTTTCTTATACAAACATAAATTACATCGTTATGACAATGATTTACAGTCGAATCTATTATCGCAAAAATAATTATGCCAGAGGGCATCACCTCTACTGCATGCATGCACAGCATGGAATATGCACATGTTCATAATACTGTTATGGTATACGGCAAGAAAACATGTAGGAACATCGTTAGTGGGAAGGAAGAAAAGGGGGCAATCACCAGTCCAAACCTGATAACCTATAGCATCACAACCTTCCCTAAAGCTACTTCTTGTAACAGAAAATGCGACTTACCTGTCCTACAAAAAACTATCTTAACATACAGAAGCACGTTGGCTGATTTACACTTACAACAATAATGAACCCTGACAATCACAATAACAACAGCAAACAATCAAAAATCACATTGCGTTGTTTACATAACAATTGCAAACATACTCCGACTTCGTTAGTTTTCACTTTGGACACCAGATCGCAGCACCTCGATGTTCTTCTCACAAATCTTCTCATCCTTAATAATCTTACCTGTTGGAACAAATACACTAGCACTTCAGCTGTTTCCCACTTATATCAGCATCGATTTCCCTAATAACCACGGCAAACATTAAAATAGTCCACAACAGCAAACAAGCTCATTTCCACAATTACCGCCAGATCGCAGTACTGTACTGTCCATTAACATGTGACATCTTCCGTCACTTCGCTATCATCGCTCGTAAGATATTTGAAAGTATAGTTTCGAGATCGTGGAGAACAATATCCACATCAAATTTTATCTAAATCGGTCCAGTAGTTCGCTTGTTGTAGTAACTTTAACATGTTAACGTTGGTGTCACTGCGCAGTTGCTGACACTGAAATGCTACCATTATTTTATCTGGACAGTTTATGCAGTTTACATCTGTGACGTGCCGTTACTTTTAAACTAATATGTGGTAATCACTTGTTTTCTGTCAGGAATACAGTTGTTTAAACATCAAACTATGGAAAGTTCTTAACTATAATGGAGATTATGTGGTGTGATAAATGGAAGATGCTGTTACCACATTTATTTTGCAGATAAATGCTACGCAACGGAATAGTTCATGCAATGTGCTGACGGCTAGAACTGGCGAGAAAAAGTATGGCGGTTGTTATTGAAACGACAATTGGGGACATTACAGTTGATCTGTTCACAGAAGAAAGGCCTCGCAGTAAGGATACTTTTTTTAGTTCGTTAAGCGTAACAGTACGTATTAGCTCCGCCTTTGGATAGTATTCTTAAAATTCTCGGAGTTTCAGCCGCGATTTATCTGCCCAAAGTAAGGTTAGCCCTTCAAGACAAAACACTATGAAACCAGATAATTACGGATGTGCAACGACAGCAGTATTTTCATACGTAGTTTCAAAATAAAGGTATTGCACAGCATTTAATTTGTGATACAGATGAGAAGTTAATACTGTATGGTTTTACAATACAATATTGCAGTCGTCTTTCATTCGTATTTACGTTTTCCAGTGGTTCATTAGAGTAGTTTGCACATATTTAGGTGATGGTTAGGATTAATTCCTTGTTACTTGTGATATATACTCTTTTCGAATAAATTTAAAGCTTAAAACACCAAATAACTTTACTTAGTTATTTCCAGAGGTTATTTTCTCTCATATCTTGATATATCATACTGATGTGACAGTTTTCTTGTGTTCTGTCAGCTATTTGATGTGTTTCTGTGCAATTGTCACCTAGAAACAGGCATGAGTAAGAAATTATTAGAAATTATCAAACGAGCCTGGCGTTTTCCTATTGCAAAAATGGTGGGAAACCAGCAAGAATTCTCAACATATAATTGCAGCTTTCATTGATACATTTCCAGGCGTTCTTCCTCCTACCAGGTAAGTGGTCCTTGTCCTCTGTAAAAGATTTGAACAAACTGGAACTGTTGCTGATTTAACAAGATGTGGGAGACCAAGTTCTGTGATGTCAGAAGAAAACCTACAAATTATTGTGCAAGCTTTATTTGGATTCATTCCAAGTAACTTCAAGAGAACTTGAGATATCATACATAATGCTCCGTACACTTGGATTGAAGCCTTCAAACTTAAAGTGTTGCATGCTTTATATGACAGTAGTCTGACATGAAATTTTGTGAATGGTTTATGTTAATGCATGTGGCTCGTACAAAATTTATAAAAAAAAAAAATAACAATCTTCTGAACAGTTGGAGATGTGTTTAAAACTAATGGATTTCTGAATCACCTCAGCTGTTTACTAGAGTGATGAAAATTCTCACCATGTGATTCAAGAACAGCTTGAGGTTCTTTGCTATATTGAACAAATGGATTAAAGCCAAGAAACATACATTACATTTTGACAAAAGAAATTTTATTAATTTTTTACTACCAACAGAAATTGTGTTAGTCTAGGTATGTAGGATATGAGACAATATAATTGAAGAAGTAGAAACAACTGAATTTCTTGGCCTACAAACTTACAATAATTTAAATTTGAAACCAAATTCAATATATTATCCCAAAGCTAAGCTCAACATGCTTTGATATGAGGATTGTCACATCCATCATGAGAACAGAAACTTTAAAAATTGTCTACTCTTCTTTCTTCCATTTGATTGTGTCATACAGAATTATTTTCTGGGGAAACTCAACAGACAGCAAAGAAGTATTTTACAACCAAAAGAAAATCATTAGAATAATGGCAGGCACTAAAGTGAGAGCCTCATTTAGGGAATTACATAATAAATTTAATATTCTCTCATTAGCCAGTGAATTATAGCTCTCATTTTTATCATTTGTAGTGTACAACACAGAAAAATTTCAAACTCAGATACCCACAATACAAGTACAAGATATAGATAAAACCTTCATATGCCAAACACTAAACTCACTAAATATCAAAAAGGAGTTTACTACACTGGAATTAAGCTATTCAATAATATAAAAAGTCGAAATCAAAATATAACAAACTTTCCGCCAGCACAAAAACAGTATCCTATTTCAATCCTTCTATTTATTAGCAGAATTTACCCCAACCATAAATTTTCAACTCTTATAAATACCTGTAAGCAATATTGATGTACTGTCTTTTGTAATTATTTTTGCAGTAATACTGTAGTTGACTGTAAATTATTATAAGTATGTAATTTTTATTAGCAACAAGTATTGTATTTGTGCTATGACATGTTCTGTATCCTTTGCTTAGTCCTATGAAGGATCTATGGAGTAAATAAATCCTATTTTATTCTATTCTGTGTATGTATTTATGTATGTATGTGCTTTTAATCTATTTAAGAATTTCCCAGGTACTGTTTCTGTTTTTAACTTCCAGCTATCAGGCTAATGAAGGGAGAAGACAGATGGATAATTGAAGAACATAGATAATCCAAAACATTTTATTTGGTGCATTCACAGAAGTTTACAAATTAGTTTAGTTTAGTTAGTATTTTCTGACAAACCTGTGGCATTTGAATTTGCATAGTGACATGAAAATACATATCAGTTGTCAAGTGTTTGTCAGAATTACAACTCATTCTGAATTCGAAGTAACCATTGAAATGTTTCTTGCAGCATGTCTCAATTTCCTGAAGCTCTGCAAGATAAAGTACTACAACTTCTGTCTATTCCACTCAGTGCAGCACAACTTTGTGGCACAGACTGGTGACCCCACGGGCCTGGGGAAGAATGGGGAGTCAGTTTTTGGGTGAGTACAGTTGTACTAACTCCGCAGATCAGATTCCTCATTGAGAAGCTGATAGCCACTCACTCATATCCATGTCCCCATACATGGTTTAGGTATTTCAGTGAAAATGGGATCAATGGAAAGTAGATGGGAAATAAAAGTTTTCCCTTTGGAATGTATACATTCTAAGTCCTCAGCCTTGTGGTCTGTTGTTTGCTATGTGTGGTTTTAAATTTTGTTCTATAATTTTGAAGTGTATGACTCATGAACCAAGTCCACACAGATTACAGTCTCTCATGTTAACCTTCTTCAGATGCCTCAGCTTTTAACCCCAAATAGATTCTTATTCTAATGGTGGTGTGTTTTTGAACTGTTTATGATTGCTCTCCATGTGGCTTGGATAAATTTGGATATCTGATTTAGCTTCATGTGAATTCACTTGCTCAGAATTTTTTTTTGTTCCTTTCTTATTTTGTATTCTGACTCGCTGTTTCTCTTGAAAATGTAATTTTTATATTATCTGTTGATATTTATATACTTAGTATCTTCTAAATTGTATATTGCAGTTTGTAGGTCTTGCATTAATTACCTGAGCATCTGCATATCTCAATTAATGAGTTAGCAAACTTTCTTATAACTGGATGCCACTTCCTTTTGCATCACATTCTCTACATTGTTTTGTTGAAACCAAGGACTGTAACAGTCAAATCATCTGATGCATGTTGGCAGAAAAATACGTGGTGAAGGGGCACGCTTTTTTGAAGCAGAGATGATCCCCAAGCTGAAGCACACTAAGCCTGGGCTCGTGTCAATGGTGAACTGTGGCGATAACATGTGAGTACATGTGAGAAACTCCTTTACTGTCAGGCAGTTTCAAATTTTCATAATTCAGTTGATTACACAGAATTTTCAATGTTCTCACTTCAGGCTTCCATAACTGAGTTACAGAGAGCTGGTTCTCACACAAGTTATTTATGGATTTTATGTAGAAAATTTCTTTAAGTATAAATATGCTCTGAAATGTATGTTTTACAAATAGCATGGAACACATTAGCTTCCTGTATGCAGTCACACCACCAATCTGTTGCCTATGCAACATTATCATGGTCTACATTTCTCCCATTAATAAGGCAGAGCACTGTAATTGTTCGTGCTCAGAACATAACAATGATTTTAGAGTTTTGACATTGGTATTTACAGATTCAAATCAGAATTCTCAAAGGAGGATTACATGGGCAGGGCATGTAGCGTGCATAGAAGAGACTAGGTACATTCTGCATGGTAGAGTGGAGTTAAATGCTGAAGTTGGGATGGTTTTGGGCCTTATAAGTAATGGATCCGTTGTTGATTATTTTATGGAGTGTACATGAGGTTTATGAAGTTTTTTAAATTATAAAATATTTGTTTGCCCTTTTTGTTTATATAAATATGTTGTAGTTGTATTTTATTATGGAATTAAGTTTATTAGTAATTTAAATTACACAAATATAAGTTGCCATATGTTCAGTGAATATGATTAAGTTGATTAAAACTGTTTTCAGCCCAAGAAAACTGGGATATGGTATGACAAGTGCAGCAGTATGATGGTCACAACTTCTGAAACACAACATTAAAATAGTTTCACATAATGATCTATGTAAAAGTTATGATAACTCACTGGCAGTAGTGACTGGGCTATGGTCTGGACAGTCAAAGGGGTTTTGTTGATATTTTGGCTTGCGTTACTGTTAACAGGTTGGGGTCACAGTTTTTCATTACACTGGGCAGTGAGCTTCAGTACCTTGACAATGACCACTGTGTGTTCGGTGAAGTTGCAGAAGGTAACGACGTACTCCTAAAATTGAATGAGGCTATCTGTGACTCAGAACATCGGCCCTATCAGGATATCAGGTACAGCAGATTTTGCTAAACTGTCTCTTTATCACTCAACATCTGATATTCTGATCAGTATGAATATGCAAAAGATAGAGCTTGAAATTCTTTGTCTTAGTGCTCTTACTGTTTGCTATTCGGAGAGGACCGCTTGATAAGTAGGGTGAGAAGTTTTATGTCTGTTTTTGAACTGCATGACGAAGTGGTACTCATGTAATCTTCTAAATAAAATACTGATGGCACAAATCAGCGAGGCTGATTGAGCCCATTTTTACCAAAAATTTGAGATATATTCCTATTATTCTTTTCATCTGATGCCCTCCCATGTCTTCAATGTAATCATATCCTCCCATCGTAGCAATACATTACCTGCAAAGTCCCATTTTCTCTGTGTCTAATTCATGTTTAAAAGTTATACTATGTTAACATGGACATGACATTTGCTTAAGGAATTCTAACTTGGCCTATGTATACATCTGTGTACCTCTGAAAATGGTGGTTTTTCTGAACAAGCTGTAATCAGTGAAATGGAACGGCAGATTGCTCTTCAAATGTCATGAATGAATCTGACTCTGTTGATGTCTGACCACGTCAGCTCATGCTTCCAGTCACAGCAGTTCTCATGGTTTGCATACAGTTCTTTTAAAGAATACTGTACTTTGTAATAATATTCACTGAAAAAAACAAAATACGTAGCTCCTCATTATGAAATCTTCAGTTTTCTTTCCAAATATTCTCCTGAACACCCTGTTCTACAAGTCTCTCAATCTGTATTCTTACTTTAATGTGAGAGATCAATTTCATACTAAGACAAAATATTATTTGAACAGAATTGTAGCTAACATTCAGCAAATTCATTCTGGTGTTAATTTTTTTAATGTAATTTTAATTTGTTACTGGTGTTCCCAGATGCTTAAGCTTTACCACAGTTTTGGATTTATTATCTGTCCTTTTGGTTAATTCCTCATTCTAGTGACAAGATATGAGCATTTTCTGAATTTAAATTTAGACAATCTCCTTATAGGCATCTAATAGGTATAATATTTCTTCAGTTGCATTAAATACCCAGGAACTGAAGGATTAAAATGGTTACACAGTGTTACAAGAACATATATGTGAAAGTAAGTGCAGGTACTTTGAGGAAGGAACATCAGTTACTAGGATTTTAAAACAAAGTGGTGTAGAGTACGAGGATAAAGCAGCTTGGTTTGGAAACCTCTTGATCGATATACTGGATCAGGTCCAGTGACTTCCTGTTCTTGTTGTGCTTCAGGATAACCCACACAGTTATCCTGGATGATCCATTTGATGACCCTGTAGGCCTCCAAATACCAGACTGCTCCCCAGAGCCGTCTCCTGAAGTTTTGCAGGTGAGTGTACGCTGCAGCCATGTTTTCTAGCTGGTGGGTTATGACATCTGTTAGTTTTATAAAAGATAATTTGGAGGGTTATGAGTCATACAAACTACAAAACCTGACTGCTGTATCTGAAACAAAATTGGGATATAACCTTGTCTTTGTATAAAGTTGTAATTGTGGGTATGTATGTTCACTTACTGTGTATGAACAGATAAAGCAGTTTGTCCCAAATTTGATGTGCCTATTTTTTTGAAAACAGGAAGATAGATTTTAGCAAGGTCAGAACTCTTAAAAAGTGTCTTGGGTTCAAGTCCTGGTGAGGGTGGTTTTTATAGCTCAGAATCTAAGCATGACAGAAGAACAGGACCGAGATGAAAGTTGTTTGTTTCAGTGAGGAAATTACAAGAACAAAGGCTGCAACCCCAAAAAGCTGTCTGTGTTTGAATCTCGAAGAAGATGATGGATTTAGGATTAATAATTTTTTCATTTGATTTTCAGCAAAATGTATCAAATGGTCAGGCCTGTGATAAGCTTTTGGTCAATAAAGAGGGTTAAGAAATGGAAGTATTTATCAAATTTCCGCAAAGTAACACAGCCAGCTAGTCGTCTTTGGCTCTCAGAGGGCTGTTACACCACAGATTAAATAAATAAATAAACACTCTGGGCACTTTAATATTTATCAATATGAATGTGTCATAAATATTTGTATTTGTATTTACATACGTGGATGTGGAGTTATTGAAATTTGCTACTGTCCATAAATCACCTATCAGTTGCCCTGAGATAGAACTGGGACCACAAGGAGGTGTGTTTAGCTGTAAGTATTGATGATAAAATGAAATGTGTTCTTACCCCAGTGAGTATAGATTTTAATGCCAGTAAGTTTGCACTACAAAAATTAAACAGATTTTAATCATTGGCAGTAACGTTGAGATGTGAGGTTTTAAGTCTGTAGCTGAAGCTGGTCCTTAAATATAGTAGGAAATTCATGTTTAGTCAGTCCACTAAACTGAGTTTTTAAGTTTCATATTTGTACCAACTAAACAGATAGGTGCATTATTGTATTTAACTTATGAATTTGTATCATGTTGGTGCTAGAATGGACGGATTGCACCAGATGAGGTACTGGATGATACCCAAGGCCTGTCAGCAGTTGAGATTGAGGAACGTGAGCAGAGCCGAGAGGCCCGTGCGCAGGCCACCATCTTGGAAATTGTGGGTGATCTGCCTGATGCAGAAATGGCACCACCTGAGAATGTCCTGTTTGTGTGTAAGCTGAACCCTGTCACCAGTGATGATGATTTGGAGATCATCTTCAGTCGTTTTGGCAAAGTCAAGAGGTCAGCCCCTGAGGGTTTCATGTTTCTGTCTTCCAGGAGTGTCAGTCCGTACCTGTTTGATTGTTTTCATTTGCTCCATTCTTACCATAACGTGGCATGGGAGCTGTCACTTTACCAGTACTTTTAATCATTTATTGTTTTTCTGTTGATAGATTTATTAACTAATTAACTGATAATTTAATTAAAAATGTAGTATAAAAATAACTAATGTAATTTCAACGTATAAAATACTTGGATAAGTCAGCAGACTTCCTGCATTGCATGTAAAATGAAGCTGTCTCACTAACACCGTGGAGGCACTGATGGGAGGGGAGAGGTATAGCTTCTGCTCATTCCTGACCTGAGCAAGGGGTAGGGGTCATGGTCAGTATCATGCCCTGGCTATGCTTTATGCCCAGGAAAAGGATCCACAGTACTCGTTAGATGCAAGACAGCCCACCCAGAGCTGATCTGGATGCAGAGGCTAGAGGAAAAATCCTTTGCACCTGCAAGGGATTATTTCACAAAAGAATGGTTGAATGATACTGTATGAAATAACAAGAGGTGTAATGTCTTTGCTTTTAAGTTCGCAGCATTGTCAATGTTTTGGCAGTGGACGAGTTGTTACCCTTGAAGAAGTGGTAGAGGAGATGCAGGGATGAAAACTTAGAACAACTTAGCTTTAGCAATAACTGCATAGAGTGGGTGCATGAAATAATGTTCGCAGGGAAACCGCACTTTCCCTCGCATTTGTTACAGGCTCTTTGTCCTTTCTGAATGCTACAAGCCTTTTTTTTATCCAGCCCAACACAAGTCCCTCTTGGAATGTTCACTGTATCTGACATTTTAAGGGATTACAACATTGTTTTGAATGTTTAGTTATTTGACACTTGTAGCACCTGCAGCCATTTTGATCTTGGCAAAAATAAACATTAATTTTTTATTTGACAAAACCACTACATAACTTTCCAGATAAAGGAATACAACTTGACTCTATGGGGTTCATCTGCAAATTGAAAGTCTGGATTAGTCATGATGCCCTACAGCATGTCTGTACAGGTCACAACATGACTCATCATGCCAAACCATTCAGTGTAAAATCAGTCAACTAACAGAAAATACTGTAGTATTTTAGAAGCCTGGGTACAACATAGCAACACGTTGCCTCAAAGGTTTTTCAGAATTTTCTTATGGTGGCACAGTGCTGATGGAGATAACCATATTTATCCAAATACCATGTGCCCCCACCAGTAAGACGTGCATTTCAATTTTATAGCATTAAAATTTTTTAATGACACTAGTACTAAAGACCAGAAAGTGATAAATTATGTTAGTTGGTTTTCCTTGCGTTAGGAATCCATGCAAGCTTGTGCAATGGCCAATATTACTGCAGTAGCTTGAAAAATTATTAGAAAGCAATACTGTAATTAGAAGTACAGGTATGCTTTGCTGTTCACTTCACTTCGTGCCATCTGAATTGATCTCATCATTGTCTGTGCCCCAAGTAGGGTATCAGAACTTTTGAAATGCATTTTTTTTTGTATTAATTAGAAAGTCTTAGTAAAATACCTGTTTGCTATCGGACACAAATTATTTAATGTAAATATTTCTGTAACCAACCTCGGCTTGCATTGAAGCCCTGAATTCCTGTTTCTTTAATAATTTCTGGTGCCTTCCGCTGGTATGCTTTACGTGTCATACTGCAATAAAACTGCTGCCCCTCATTTACAATTGAATAAAGCTTTTATTGCAGCTTGAAATTTTGCTTTTTGCTTCTTGGAAGCTTGCTTGTGGTGTCTATTACGACGTAGTGGATACAGTAATCACTCACTTCAAGCGTTTTGGTTGCAGTGTATTTATTCTGTTTTAAGACTTAAGTATCTTAAATCTTAAAAAAAATCTGTGGACCACAGATCAAGAATAGCTCTGTCTACTGGATCCAACAAAATAGGTGTCTCCCCACTTTTTATTTTACAAATCTTACTTTTCCCGATGGACAGTAACATTTTGTGCTACCCATATTGAATCCTTGAACATGACATGATTTGGTATTTTATGCATACATTTTAGAAGAAAAGGTCTGCATGGTATTTGGATAAATGCAGTAATTGGTAGGCAATAATAATTGAAAAATAACTAGTAGTTTTTAATTAATAGTATGCATTAATCATATCAGACTAATATGCTGTCACCTTGAAATGATGTGAGGCAGTTTTGGTTACAGCTGTGAGGTGATACGAGACAAGGTCAGTGGCGACTCACTGCAGTATGCATTTGTGGAATTTGAGGACAAGAAGGCATGCGAAGATGCGTACTTCAAGATGGACAATGTGCTTATTGATGATCGGCGCATACATGTTGACTTCAGCCAGAGCGTTGCTCGTCTTCGCTGGAAGGGCAGAGGTGTGCAGGACCTTATGGATATTAGTTTATTAATTGCAGAGCTAGACTTTTATTGTCTTTAAAAGTAATTTAACTTAGTTATGTTTCATTTCTGTGCCTGTGTATCTGTCTTTTCCTAACAAATTTTCAACAAGCGATTATCATGGAGCTTGGCATTGTAACATTGGATCAGTGATGAATTTATTTTCCACCTTGTTACAATTTATAATGATTTCTTCTTTGCTATACTTGAAGCAACTGAAATAATTCATTCATTCATTCAATTCATTTATTTGAGTGCTTGACAACAGTCAAAAAGGCCAATAAGAGCCAAGCACTAACAACAACAAAAATAATAATGATAATAAATCAATTCATTAATTTAATGCAAAATAATTAACAGTAAATGAACCAAATAATATGCCTGAAAGTGAAATATTAAAATACAAAAAAGAAACAAGCAAATGAACTAATTATATAAATGTACAAATAATTCAATTCATTTATTGCATATTAATCAACAAGCAAATGAGCTGAATAATATGCCTCAGTATAATATAATAATGACACTTGAAATAATTGTTCTCTATTAGTTAATGTTCCTCTATTTTTGTAGCAATTGTAACTCGTAGCCACTGATCTTTGCATAGTCTCTGTACAGTGGACAGTCCTGTAATAATATCCAACATCTAGTCTTTGGCTAGGTATGTCATGTTAGACTGCTACCATCATCATCAACAGCATTGGCATTAACACCCAACAGTAACTGTTCTGTTGTTATTTACAGGTCGTGGTGTAGAGCATATACAAGAAAAGGCAGAAACAAAACAGGACAGAAGTGGCAGGGTGAGTAACTAGTTATTCATTGGCATATTATTGAAATGAACCTCCATGAGTTTGTTATTAAAACTGCATTGAAAAATATATAGCAGACCAGGTCATATAAAGGCTGGTCTCTGGCTTCTCAAAATTTGAACTCTGCTTAAAACTTTAATATTGCTACTGCAGCATTGCCTGCAAGTTATAACAGAATAACAGTAAAAGTATTAGGCAAGAGAATTATATTGTTGAACAGTGGAAACTTAGATCTGTACTTTTCTGGGTTCTTATATCATGATGTGTGCAGTACTTGTGATCACTATAATCAAAAATCATTATGAACCATTTCTTGGGACATTGATCTTATCTGTGTACCATATTTACGCAATATAAGATGCTAACATTAATGACATCGACAAATGTAGCTGTGATGATTACTGTTGGTGAGAAACTGAACATCTTATAAGAGGCAAAACAATGAGGGAATTGTGCTGGCCACTACAAAACAGTGGTCACTGGTAGCTTTTCATAGGCAAGCAGAAAATTTTTCCAGCAATAGAAAGTTGTCTTCATATTTAAATGAGACAGCAATTTGGTTGTGAATTGTTGCTTGAAATATGCCAGTTGAAGGCACTTGAAATCACAACAGACATGGTGACTCAGGGCTTCAACACAGTCCAGGCTCATGTTGAAATGCCATCATATGGTAGACATTTGTCATTGTCTAAAACTTGACTGCTAGCTTTAAATAGTTCCAAAAGTGACTCTGCAAAAGATATGGATAAAGAAAACGGTCAATTCAGCGTTGCTTGTTGTAGTGATACTGCCAGGATAATGATCCTCCTTTTGTTTGTTATTTTTCTGTAAATGTAATGTTAAGAAGGTGATGGTGGATGGGTTTTGCTTTTTTAGGTGCCATAGCAGATATGACTCGTGCGCAGAGCAATTCCCTTAGTGCCAGCTCTGGAGTGACACTAAATTCTCTTATATTTCAGAAATACGAAAGAAGTTCAACCGTCCGAGTTGATAGCTTGGAGGCGGAAAATCGACAACATAGCCATGGAGATGATTGGACCAGCAGAGAAAATGAATTTGACAGAGACAAGAACAATGCATGTAAAAAAGGCAGGAGACTTGATGACTATAAGTGTGGTTCCAGACAGGAAGGAGAGAAAGACAAGAAGGCTGCAAGGAATGATGAGGATTTTGTTTTGGGGTCTAGGGACAGCAATGAAAATGAAAGGAAATCGAAGCAAAGCTATGAGAGAAGTGGGGAAGGCCACAGAGGTGTGAATAAAGATGCAAAAAGTAGTAACAGGAATGATGAAGCTAAGAGATTCCAGGATGGTGGTAAGGATCTGAAAGTGAAACAGGATGCAAGTAAGAAGCACAGTAGTGAGGAAGGAAAGAAAAACAAGGACATACAACATACGCATAGTAACGGGGAAGGAAAGACACATACGGACATCGAAAAAGTAAAGTGTGAAGAATCGCATAACAGGCATATCGTTGAAAAAGATAAAAGATGTAGAGTGACGAACAAAGATGTAAGGAGTGGAGAAGAAAAAAGTAAGAATATAGACAAGAACATAACAGTTAAGCACAACAGTGAGAAGAACAAGAAGTTAGCTAAACAAATGGAAGAAGGCGGTAAGAAGCGTAAGGATGCTAAAGAGAAACGTAATCAGACAGTGAAGGAGAAGAGTGACAGAAAGATGAGAGGGGAGAGTATGACTAAGGAGACAAAGAAGCGGAAGCACTCCAGCTCATCATTTCAGAGCAGAAAGAAACATAAGAGGTCACCAAGCAGTGACTCAGAATCGTCCAGCTCCATCAACTTTACCAGCAGTACCGATTCATCGTCTAGTGAATCTTCCGATGAGCAGAGCAAAGCCCGACACAAGAAACATCACAAGAAGCCTTCGGTACTTGCTAAGAAGTCAAAGAAGAAGTTGAAACTGTCTAAGAAAAACACACGCAAGCGGAAAAATGATTCGGACACCGACAGCTCTTCTTTTGACAGTTCCGATAGTAACCCCAGAGGCAGAAGTCGTAACAAGAGGAAACAAAGAACAAAAGGTGCGTCTTCAGAAGAGGACAGCAGTTCAGAACGTGAGGTGAAGAGGAAGAGGAGGAAGAAGAGGAAAAAGAAACCAAAGGTTAGTATGAAGCGGAAAAGAAAATCTTCTAGCTCTGAAGACTCGGAGACTGATGACACGTCCAGTGACTCAGAGGATCAAAAGCCCCCAAAGAAACGTCACAAGAAAGTGATTAAAAAGCGCAAGAAGAATCACACAACAAACAAGAAATCTGTGCAAAGAAGTAAGAGTGATGAATCACACTCTGTTGACAGGAAGGTGAGGTCATCCGCCAGTGATTGATTGTTTTGTTTATTTTGTAAGTATGGTGCTGGTCCACATTTGTGCATTCAATTCAGTTTTTAATTCACCAGGAAAATTGAGCCAAGTTATCTCCTATCCTGAAGTGTGAGCACAAACTTAATTTTCTAACAGAAATTTGGCTGTTATATTATTAAACATTTCACAGAACACATTTACTTGCATAATGTGTTCATGTCTTCATTCAAGACAAGTGTGGTAAGTGCACTGAAGGCCAAGATATTTGTTTTCTACAGTTCATGTAAATTTCTGTTTTCCTGTTGAGTTTTCCTTTACTGTCATGTACATAATTTATGCCATAAATTCAATTTATCCTATTATACACTCTTCTTTGATTGTCATATTAAACAACGTATTAGTTCTGATTATATTCAGTTTCCAGGGAAAATCATAATTCATATTTCCTACCTTTCTGACTTCGTATCTCACATCTGGTGTCAGAGTGCACTGAATACAACAGAATCGATGAAGGCACATGTTCTGTGATGGGTTGTCTTTAATCTTACTGTACTGCAACTTCAGAAGGGATAAGAATTCATTGTGGACCGTAACACAACAATGTTGCTGTTTTTGTTATTGATATGTGAAGTACATTTCTGCTTGGCCTGTAATATGCGAAATCAATGTATAGTATTTCTGAAGCTATAACTCCTACTCTTTCTTGACCTCAGCACTAGATAGGGGTGAGTGGTGAGCATCATGCCCTGGCCTGAGAGCACAGGAATACTATTTGAAATGTTTATCGCAACCATCCAATCCCACACAAATCCTTAGGTGAATTGAGATAAGTATTCAGGTGACTTGACAACAAACGATGGGCCATGGAACGTGGTTGCAAGAGCCATGTTGGTATGTCACTCACATAACAGACTGAACAGCACACGAGAGACGATTCCACCCTGGCCCACATACCATGACATGTAGGTGTGACCGACTGGAAAGACATTTGGATAGCCGGCAAAGAAGATATGAGGATACTATTTCCACCAGATGAGACGGGAACTGTTGAAAAGTTAGCTTGGTAACAAGAGTTTTGGCCCATACAGTATCGAAGGCTTTGATTACATCCTGGAAAGCTGAGCTGGTAAGCCTTTTCGCATCAGTTATCCCTTCGTCTTTCAATAAGGTGGGCCAGCTGTGGCATTAAAATACGTTTTCTTTGTCCTCGTGGACCCTCTGCATCATACACATATCCACTCAACGTCACATATTATGCAGCTTCTTCAGCAATTTTGAACACTGCAGCATTTTAACCACTGAAGAGGCAAAATTAACAGGAGAAAGAAGCAATCATACATACTTCCCTTATCTCTTTCTCATGTATGTTGTCTAAAGAAATTGTCTCTTGGACTAATCACTTCGGCTGTTTCAAGACTACTGATAAATTTTATTAGCTTATATACAAATCTCTAATTTTAGAAGTAGGTGATCTTAGTATATAAATTACAATATTTCTCAGTATATATACACAGTTAATTTTGTTTAACCAAAATAAATAAATATCAAATGGTCAAGGAGTTAGGTCATACTGACTCGTTCTGGCCTCGAAGCGTAAAAGTCTCTTTCAGGGTTTCTTCGTCCACATGGTGTGTAATTTTTAAATAATTTTGGAAGTCTGTCTCTACATTCTATTAACATGTTGAAACCAATTGTTTTTATATTTCAAAAATTTGTCTGAAATGGGTTCTGTTTGTAACTCTTTAGGTATGTCTTCATTTATTTTATAGTCCAAGTGTGCTTTGCAATACGTCTCATAAATTACATCTCAGCATGTGTAATTCTGTTTTTGTCCTTTTTCAATATTCAGTTTTCACTGCCATATAAAATTGTGGGTAGTGCCAAAGTAGTATATATTTTTTATTCTAGTTTGGTTTTAGACTATTGATGGTTCAAAAATCATGTTGATAAGGCTCATGTCAGAAATTCTGAAAGTTTGACATCTATGTTTTTTTTTGCTTCATATGATAGGGAACCGAGGTAATTAAAAGTATTTATTTGTTCAATAATTTTGTTGTCTGTTAATAAATGTACAGAATTTAAAAGAAAACTGAATAATCTCTACCAAGAAAAGTATAACGCCACAATAGGAATTATAAAGTCTATATTATATTGTGCTGTGCGGTGACGTTTCTTACTTATACAGCAAACAGTTTATCACTAACCAGTTCATCATCGCCTTTTGGCAAGAGAGATTGTCACGAAAGTCCCATAGAGCCTTAACGAGTTGTCTGTGGAATGCACCACCATACGGCTACCAAGATTACTGATTTCTGATAAGCGAAGTACCAAAAATAAGTCTTTTTGGGCGGTTAACTATGATTTAGACGTACAAGTTTAGAAGGCGTAGAGCGAAGAGTGAAAAAGAAAACGCCTCTAGAAGGCCTTGAGGGAATTAAATATGGCCGTGTTTATGTATATGTTGTTTGCTTTCACGCTAGTGTCGCATTTTCTGTGGAAGTGTAGGTTTACCTGTCATGAAGTAATGTGATAAATATACATAAATTGTGTTCTTGTAACTGTGGGTGCAGCAGTATGTAATTAATTTGTCGATGCTATGAACCCTAACCTCAAGATCACAAAAAAAGAAAAAATGTGATCCACTGTAATGTAATTACGAACTTTAAAATAAAGTTATTATGTGGCATTACTTTTCCTTTCTAGGCCCCGGACAACTTACTAAACAGTTATATGGATTAGAGTTTTCTTCCTCACAGTTATCCACAGGACAGCCTATTGTATTGAGAAAAGGTGATATGTTAAACCTTACCTGTAAAGTAACATCAGCAAGCAATATTTCAGTACCAAGATTTGAAATTGCAATTCATACTCCGTACTATTCCCAAAACAGGTATGTGAAATCATAAATGTTCATAATCCAAGTACTATTATACATGTTTCAGGTTGTCAAATCCTGTTAGAACACCACTCTTTGCTCAGTGCCGATCTCTCTTTAAGGCGGGGATAGCGGTAAATTGATTTCTTATGTTTGAGTGTGCTGTTATTATTGTATAGTATGCCATGGACTAAATGGACACCAAATTTGTGTGTAAAGTTCATCATACACTTGTGCTATCCATGTCTTAAGAAGAGTTATTAACATTATGTTTTTCTTCAAAATAGGCAGACAGATTGGTGTCTGCTTAATAGATGTCTGGCATAAGTCACTGTAGTTAATGGAAGGTAGAGAAAAACAACGTATGGACAAATACAAGGAGATTATGAATGACTGGAATTATGATGCCAGCTGTACATTTACATCACTTCTGGTATGGGACTTAGAAAATCTCAAGCACTTGATTCTATTGCACAGACTGTATGCTTTAACAAATATCATTAGTGTGATAAGTAGAATAGAGGGGGGTTGATTTTTGACTGACCTGTGTTATGACCAGTAGTTGTCTGTTGTACATCTCCATCATTTATCCCACCAGTAATTAATTAAAAATGTCAGGGATATCTGTGAAACATGTAATGGATAAATGAGAAGTGCTTTTAAAAGTTTGTTTGAAAATCAAGATTGAAGAGACTATGTTGAAAAGATAGGCCTTGATATGACTGTAATATTGAAAGTAATCACAAGGAAGTTGTGTGTCAGGGTGTGGTTAAGAATAGGACCCAATGGCAGGTGATTTATGTTCCATAAAAGCAAAAAAGTTTATCGACCAGACAGACAGAAGGCATATTATCAGTAGAAAGGATCAGTAGGCTGTGTGCATGAAAATGTCATAACCACTGTGTATAATATTAATTATTGTAATATGGTAATACCGGTGCTCAGAAAGAGTAATATAGGTTAGCTGATGGTCACTTGCATAATATTTCAGCATGAATAGAGTTCTACAGAATAAGGGCTACAACACAGTGAATATTGTGGTTCAGAACTTGCAAGAAAGTGATAGCGGGGATTATAAATGCGAAGCAATAAATGATGAAGAGCAGATGCAGTTCCATCTGGCGCTGCTGGTGATTGTAAAGCACAGTATGTATTCCTAAATATAATTATAACGCATGTAATTTTTTTATCACAGTTACATACTAAATTTACCCATAATTTTAATCCTTATTTCCATACCTATTGTTTTCTAGTTTAACAATACATTAACATCATTGAATGCAAACATAGGTTCATATAAAAGTATCTCATTTTCTCAGAAGCCCAGCATGGTTTTATATTTAATTGACCATCATTAGGTTAGGTTTGTATTTTATGAAAGCTGTCAGGTTTCAATCATTCCAAGAGGTGTTCAGTTGTTACAGTTGTGACACAAAATCATATAGTAGCTGTCATGTCAGGGAACTATATAGGTCAGTATTCATAGAGTCTTGTTTCATATTAGTTATACCTTAAAAACTACAATTATAATATAAAATATATACTTATACTTAAATGTTTGGTTCTTGGTAAGAAGGTCTTTAAGTCAGTACAAATTATGTTTCACTTAAACCCTTCGTACTGGATACCAAAGAAGTAGTCTAAAAATAGATTTCTTCTTGAGGAGGTGATGGTCAATTTGTGAATATTTGGAGATGCTATTTTTAGAAAAGCAGCAAGACCTAATAAAAGTAACTCCAAATATTCAGAACATTCTGGAAAGTAGAGGTTTTGCCAAATAAAACTTTGGAACAGCTGTACAGATTTCTTGGAATCTGGTATGCAGATTGTGCCATTGGAGACTCATCCAAACCCATAGTCTTTAATTTCCTGTAATTCATAATGCATAAACTTTTGACATGGGAGGATGTCTCCACCATATTAATGCCCATGATCCTGTGTGACAGTTTCATTGCATGTGATATCCGTCTCTTTGCGTATAATCATACCATTGTTGTGTAGTCAAAAACCACTCTCTTTAAGTTCATCCAGTTGTTAATGTCAATGTGATGCTTTAACTTGTAAGATGAGAGGATGGTCCGTATGTTGATGCCTCCACCCATGAGCTACCACGATGATGAATGACTTCATATATGTTGCCATTATCAGTAATCATATAGACAATTTGTGCTGCCATCTGTCACTGTGATCATGAACTGTATGATATCACATCCACCAGATGACTTAAAGAACACATTTGCAACTTTTTTAACTCTGTAGAATACATTTTTCCATTCTTATTTATTTTTAATCCCTTTTATTTATGTGTTTATCTTACTTACTATTCACATGCCATTATTACTGGCAAATTCAATTACAGTCAGCTTTAGGCATTATGTAATTTTGCAAATTCTAGCCAGTGGTGTATGGTGTTTCCAAGTATATCCCTATATAAATACTCTCTCTTATGAATGTGGTGATTGGATAAGGACCATGTACTGTAAATGTCTCTTTCTGTGTGTTGCTTAGTATGTATAGTTTGGTTAAAGTAGTGTTGCTCTTATTCAAGTTAAAAATGAAGATGAAATTGTTTGAAACTGCACCTCTGGAATTTCAGAGAAATGTGGCCCACACTTTTTCCAGTGCTTAAATGGAGTGTGTATCATGAGGCGTTACTTGTGTGATGGATTCCGTGATTGCAGGGATGGAGAGGATGAGTATGAGGAGGAATGTGGTAAGCTTGTAGTTTTCAAATAATGTGTCTAGTTCTATATCAGATTAATGTTATGTGGGAAGTATATCTTTATTATGAGTGGGGATAATCATGTGGAGTGACATGTAAGCCTGAATAAATTGAATGATTGTTAACCCTTAAATTGAAATCAAAATTTTATCTCTCACAACCTTTTCTCTTTAGGGTGATATGGTTCAGTCCATTTTGGACCATTCTCAGGTTGTACAAATATTGTGTCCAAACCAAAATTATGTTTACAGTTACTAAATATTTTCATAAACCATTTCATGCACCTTATTAAATAGTGGTAGTTTGCTTTTACCTCTGTTGTTATGGCTACCTTATATCCATTATTGATTTTGAAGAATGAAAATTGTGAAGGCGACCATAAAAATAACATCTTCATTATTTTTTTTTTTAATTTTTAAGAGGTGGTTTAGTGCAGTTTAAAGTACATGTACTGTAATATTTGGTAAGAGTGTGTGTAAAAATATCTGTACATGTAGATTTCATTACATTTTACATATTTCACCAACTAGGAAGAGAAAGTTGCACATTATAGATGTTCTGATTCACTGTCTGCCATGTTCACTTTGTGATTATCAAATTGAAGTTGATGGCCCCATACAGCATCATCCTTAAGAGGGCCACCCAAATGGTGTAAAGGGGGATTACCTTTGGATTGTAAGCAGCGTGAGAATGAAGATTTGCAAATGATCTGCAGCTGTAGCTCTGAAATTTATAGAATTGTAATGCTTCCCATATGTAGACTGCTAGATTTAAGTGATTTCTACTTATGAGAGAATGTTGTCTCTTATCTGTCCATATTGTTAAAGTTCTAAACAGATTATTTCATTCTGCTCATTACCACAACCTGTAAGAACAGTGTTTTTCACTTTATCTTGCATTATCACCCAGTGCATTTGCTGCAGTCAGCCTCCGCCTATTAGCCAGATACATGTCACGGCCTCTGTACACACTTGGGGAAACAAATGTGCACCTGAACTGTGGTGCTAGAGTAATTCATTCTTGCAGTTTTCAAACTGCGTAAAGTATTTATCTTTAAATGTTGGCATGATTGCAAGTGATGAATTTGAAAGGATGCTGACTGTTTGAGATACTATCTCAGATGTACATGGAGGGACTCACAGAAATTAAGAAATGCCCTCAGTGTGGTTTGCTGGTCCCTTGGCCATGATTTTAACCCAGGAACTCCAACATGAACCAGGAATGCAGACGTGACAGACATGGGAATTGCCATCAGGGATGGCTGTAAACTCTGTTGCCTTTACAAAGAACTCGCATTTTCAGTTGAAATAAAACGTGATAGCATTTTTATTTAGATGGCTTTTCTGTGAATCTAAAAGGATCATTGTGTTATGGCATTTGTACCAACTCTTTATGGTATGATAAAATATTTGTGCATTCAGGTGCTGGGGAGAATGTTTCAACAGAGTTAATTGCAAGTGATCATGGCCACATGGTCTAGTGCTTTAGGAATGCATAGGCCTGCTAACTGCCTGCAACTTGATTTTGTTTTACTAGGGCCAAATCCATGTAAGAGCAAGCTTCACTGTGACGACCATCGCTGTATTCCGATAGACTGGTGCTGTGACACATATCATGATTCCAACTGCACTGTGAGAGTTCTGCCATCGTGTTGCCTTCAGCTGTCTAAATGTGAGTCTGAAAGAAAAACTGCTTCGGTATTTTGCGTTGTTTCTCCCTATAAAAGAGGCAAAAATGTAATTGCCAGCTCTGGTGGCAGACAGTTTAACGTCTTCATGTTTAATTGGTTTCATCCAGTTAGTTCTTCCTTTCTGTGGTTAATTTGTCTTGATTTAGAAAGATATTTTAAAATCTCTTCAGGAAACGTGTTCAGATAACTGTCATGAATTTGAATGTATGTGACTCCTGAGGTAGTTACAAGGAGAACAGACATGATGGAGTTGCTGAAAATTAAAAGGGAAAAAACAATGAACCACTATCTGAAATCACTTTTACCATAGACAGTTATAAATCACAACTTTTCAAACCTCACGTAATTCTGTAAAAGGCCTCAAATACTGTTCTGCTGTGGAATGACAGGTTGAAAATATTCGCTAGAATAATTTATACAAATTCCTGATTCAGACAAAACCAATGAAATAGATGTAAATAATATAGTTTGGGATGTTCTCAGAAGTGGTGAATTTGGAAACAGTTTGTTTTTACATTTAGTGGTTCAGAAACTGCGGCCTACAACTGAGCTTCATAAATATATTTATATTAAGCTCAGTTCTTGGAAGTGCTTTACAACCACTGTATTAAGATGTGGTTTTTATATTTTTAGACATGACCACCCCAAAGCATAACATATATGATACAACCAGCTCTCGTGGTGAATGACAACACTCCGCTGTTGTGTAAAACAAAATAAATTCATACCATTCCTTTTTGACATAGGCTGTGGATATTTTCTACAAAGAAATTAAATATGTAGAAACAGTATTGTCACATGCACCAGCTATCACCACCCCCCAGTCTCTTTGGCTGTTGTTGTCAAGGTCAGCTGGCATTGAGGGGCTGGTGATGTCACCACTATTGGAAGAGTGTAATGGAACTGGGCAGGCCTTTCCCAAAGTTGTTATGCCCCTTTTAAAAGGTGACACAGGCAGAGTGCCAAGCAGATTACCGGCAAGATAGTGGTTGATTAATGTGTTGAGTTGAGTGACAGAGAAAGCTCAGTACTATGATTATTATGACATATAGAAGACAACATTTGTATCCGGATGCACAGGATTTGTGAATCAACAGACATTAATCTGGAAATAATGAATTGTATTGTACATGATAAATTTATTTATTCTTGTCATTATTTGAAGCTTGAAACTTAAAAAGTATGGTAAATAAAATGCTTTTTTTCATCTGATGTGTATTGATGCTAGCTAACTTCCATTTAATTTCGTCATCCCCCTAATGCAGTCTCAAATTAAACCCCATATAAGAGGGAAACAGAATATGCACCATGAAAAGCCATTGTCTTTTGAAGTTTTATTACGTCATATATATAATTTTCTTTCTTTCTTAATCATGGAGAATGTCACTTTTAGCTGTTGCTTTAAAGGAATGAAAAGTGAAATGATTTTACTGACAAAATTTTAGATCACACATTGAGATTTCTAGAGCACAGTGCATTTCTACTTGAATGAGAACTTGTATTTTCCATCCCACAACACAAGCTGTAAAATTTTCTTTGGTACACTTTTAAAGTATGATTGCAAAGGATTCATTCTAAAAGTTGTATGCAAGTGGCATCTTTTTGAGTATTATTAAAAAATATGTTTTGTGTTAATGCAGCAATCATGGATCTAGATGCATACGCGAATGAACCACCACCCCAGGGTCTAAGTGATATGGGATTCCTTCAGAATACACTTTACACAGTTGTAGGTGAGTGTTACATGCCCTATATTTCTAAATAAGTAACTTAAATTTGCAGCAAGTATGAACCAGTGATGTGAGGGGATATAAGAAAAGAACAAAACAGAGCAAATGCTTAAAATCCAGGAGGGATAACATGGTCTCCGATTTGATAAAGTTTGATTTGAGGTCCTTGTAAAGCAGGGCTTATATTGTGTGATTGCTATGAGGAATTTATACCATCAAAAGATTAATGTTGACAGAATTCTTATGGGTTGGGACACCATATAGACTCATAACATTTCAGGGAAACATATTGTCTTCAGGGCTATGGTGGTGATCCTGAAGTGGAGAATGAAAAAGGGGTTAGAGGAAGGGTATGTTGGGGGGAAAGTGGCGGTCGGTTTCAGCAAAAGACTGTTAGGATCTTAAAGTGATCTGAGACATAATATGAATAGCCCTGTCTGTACCTTTTTATTATCACCTTGAGGTTTCCAAGAACAAACAAAATTTAACTGGGATACTGTTCCATAACCGCCACGGTGGTCTAGCGGTCAGAACACTAGCCTTGTAAGCCTGGGGTCCCGGGTTCAATTCCCGGTGGTGCTCAAATTTATAACTTGTGTTGGGCAAGGCCGTGGTCTAGGCATCACGGAGTTTTCCTCCGGGGGCTTCCCCGGTTTCTCCGTGGCATCCCAACAATTACTCCATTCACACACAGAAGAAGGCAATGGCAAACCACTTCTGATCATCTTTGCCAAGAATGTATATATGTATGAGCAGGTCCCTGACAACCTGAAGAGGTTGGAAGGATCCTGTTCATAATATATGGACCTGTCGTCAGACAGAACACTACAAAAAAAAAACTGTTCCATACACTCAGTATTCATTGTCAGCTATAACAAGTACTCTAATTTGTTCAAGCAAAGCAAAGATGGTAGTCAGTTGATACATTTGATTAGGAGCTGTCTCCAAGGGGAAATGCAGTGCATGGCACTGCCAGCATTGTGTAGGAGGGTTGGCTTGGGTCACTGCAAAAACATCTGCATAACATGCCAATGAACAGTAGAGATTTGCTCTCAGTCAAGACAGCTTTAATGTGAGCAGTTGGGGCTGGAGGTGCAAAATTTACCAGTGTTCAGTGGAATTAAGATATTTTTAACTTTGTATAAGTGAGTTCCTCTTGCACGTAACAATACTTCTGAATTTACAGCTAGTTTAATGGGACATGAGCCATGACCTTGAGTTCTCCACTCAAGTGATCTGCACAACGCATGGTCATGACTCATGTTCCATTGAAGTAGCTGTTCTGCAGACTGTAAATGATGCCAGTTCTTTCAATGAATACAGGAAATTTGGAAATATATATAAGGGTTATTGTGAAACTCTGGGTTTTACGAAGTAAGATTTTTCCAAAGAGACAAATACAATTTTTCTACCTTGCTCTTTCTGTCTTTATTTAAGATATAGCAATTCATGATAATTATGTGTACTCATACATGACTGTCGTAATATTGACTATTTTTTTCCTTCTGGCTGCTCCTTGTTCCTCCTCCTTCGAACCTGAAGGTTGTTCTATGGCATTCATGTTCATTGTAACAATTCTTGTTGTTGCAATTTGTCGTGTCCACATGAAACGTTCATTATTACTCTCTCGTTGCTCTGGTGCTAGGAGTGGTAACCGAGCCCCACAGCAGCACCACCACCATCATGGATTACAGCACATGCCTCTTTATGATCTAGATGTGCGGTTAAATCGTTCCCTCTATCCACATTCATCATCAGTTTCTCCACATACTGGTCTTTCGGTTACTTACAATATTAATAATGGTGTTCAGTTTATGAGGCGGCCTATGAATCCACCTCCATACTGTGAAATTGTTGCCTCTCCTCCCAGAGAAGGCCCTCCTCCTCCTTATATCTCTCACGAAAACCTACCATGTGCCGGTCCTGAAGCCAGGTCAATAGCTCACAACAGTGCGGACGACATCCCAGGTGAAAGGGACTCACTTCTGGACTCTGGAAGAGGGCTGGAGTCCATAGAAAACACACAGTTAAGAGGAGACTCTGAATATTTGAATGTACTAGCTGGAACAGTCTTCATTTCCAGTCAACAGCCCATGCAAGAAGTGGACAGAAACTGTCAGGTTGGTAATGCAATTTCATTAACAATAAACAGTGATCACGATGCTGTATTAGGTCCAGATACCATTTGTAGTTTTGGAAATGATGAAAGAGTAAGTGAACTTTCAGTGGAGAGTGGTATCAGCTGTGAGAATTTAGTAGTTGCTCCGAACGTGCCTGATGCTCATGAAATTACTCTGAACAATGTAAGTGTTCCTGACAAGTCCTCAGCCAAAACGTCAACTGCTGTCAATACAGTTTCTTGTACCACACATAATGACAGCAGTTTCAGCATGGTTTGTGATAGCCAAGAAAACCCCCTGCATTGCCTACACGATAGCTTCATTATGGTCCATACCAATTCAGCTGACTTGAATCCAAGAATATTGGGTGCAGCTACACATTTAGCCAGTGTCAAATCTACGGATACTTCTGTTCCCACTCTGACCTTGGAAAATTATGCAAGAACTAAGACTGATAGTGAAGACTGAGTGTGTGTTCTAAATTTGTATGCAGTTAGTAGATATTAGTGTGAATATAGTTAACAGGTTTTATTACATTGTGATTACTATAAAATTTATCTTACTGTTGCTGCTTTATCATATATTATCTTCCGATTGGTAACAGTACTGTTTGACCTTATGTATGTTCACATCCACTTTTACAATTTATCTGTTTTGTTACAAGTGGAATATAAACATTATTCTGTCAGAGTTTTAAGAGGAGGGTTATTCAAATACACATGGTTCAGTATGTGACTAGAGGGAGAGAATAAATACGGTGTTGAGCTGTATCAGTCATAATATGGTGCAATCTGGAAGGGCACAGTACACTGACTTTCATAGGCAGTGGAAAAATGTAACATTTCTAAATATGGGAACCTGGGTTGAGAAATGTTGAAGATCTTTAATTGTATTGAACTTTCTTAAAATGATTCCTACATGAACTTGGCGTAGTGTTCGTCTGAAATTCTTGAAGTTGTAATTATTTCCTGAAATAGAACAAATGTGACCAATCTACTTAATCTCATTTTTATTCTTCAACTATAGTAGTTACTTTTGTTTCCAACAGAAATAGAATAACTTGCTAACTCCATGGAACAGAACCTCTCTTGCAAAGCTAATAGTCACTCATTTAGGCATTGAAGTCTCTGCATTTTATGGAATCTGGGGGTTCATTACTGGTCAGAAGAGCCCAGAATGATGTAAGTTACACAAACATAAATGTAAAATAACTAAGTATCTGGAAACAACAATAACACACAGAAATGAGGTCCTTGATGAAATTAAGGATAGAACATATGGGGGTGAGTGGTTAGCATTATGCCACAGCCACACTTTACCCCCAGGAAAAAACCCCGGTACCAATTGTATAGGAGGCTGGGTGGGACCCAGAGCCAGTCTGGATGCAGAGGCTAGAGGAAAAATCCTCTGCCTCTATTGGGAGTGAACCCCAATCATCCAGTCTGTTAGTAAGATGAATTATGATTGGAAAATAATAAACCATTTTAGATATATGCAAAACCTGTCTTTGTAGTGTATTTTGCCTAAATCCAGTAGTTCAGATGTCTTTTGTGTCAGGCTGTGGGTGAAGTCTTTTATTTTGTAGGCTTACAAGGGTTTGGTTTTGGTAGAAGAACTTACATGGGATTAAGGTGTGTTACATGCAATCTGTTAAATATGCATGGCAGAGTCATTACTTCTGTTAGCTTGCCTGTTGCCACTACAAGTTTTACTGTATGCCACCTTAGAAGTAATTCCCATCTTCTTCGGCCGGTGGTCATACTACTGGAAACATTCTTAGATCTTGCCATTGTAACCACTTTATCTTAGTCATAAATGTTTGCATTTTGTTCACAACACTTGGCAGAGATTCTTCTCTATGAAAATGTGACAGACTGAATGTCATGGTTCATATTTAGCATGTAGTTCACCCTGTTTATTTGAAAGGTCCTGGGTTTTTGGTGCAGATATCATGAGTTCTTCCATGGTTTTTTTCAGTCCCTCCAAGTGAATCTTTTGATAGGACATGACTGTGTTCACATTCTCAATTCTTATCTCATTTAACGGTTGGTTTGGGACATGCAGATGCAAAGTGTGGTGAAGCACGTAGAATGGTTTCTTCATATTGTGGTAACTTAAACTAACATTTATTTTGACCTTTCCTTTTGATGCATTTGCATATGTTTCAAGATGGCTTTATGCAGCTGGAAGAGCTGTTACTTTGGTTAGAAAAGGAGGAGCCCTTCATAATCACAGGAACCACAAAAGATGTGTTACAATTTCTATTTGAGGGTAACTAATATGTAATTCAGAAATTTTTCAAAAGTAGAATTTATGGGACTGCTAATAACCATCTTTGTTGAGGAGCTGAAAGTCACTCAGTAAAGAAATTCCTGACTCTATGATAGTTGATGGTCTTCATTTCAGTCTTTACATCCCCCACCCCCCCAGTAGCTGACCCACACTGAGGATGATCTTATGAAATATCCTGTTACATAGCAGATAGTATTATAAATACATTTTTGTTTGGCAGAATTAAAGTAATGACTGGCTTCATTGGTAAGTAGCTTTCTATATTTCTGTTTTGGAGTTACTTGTTGGAGTTTTTGGATTGCTGCCGACATGTCACGGATGGACGTGTCCACCAGGTGAGACATTTTTGTGCTGCTCACTTTGCATTTGTTTCAGGAATCACTGCTTTGTATACTGTTTTTATGTTTGTTGTGTACTGTGTCTTACACAAATTAAGTAACTTGCATTTTATTCTGGATCAGAAATAAAGGTTATACCATTAGACAGTAGAATTTTGAAAAGGAATTATGTTACCTAAGCTGTTAATTTAGGAATTTATCCATATTTACCTGAATTGATAGGTTAATAGGCCTACAACTGTTTGGTTGTTTCAGCCATATTCCTATGTATTCCCCTTATATATTTCTGTAAATGTTTTCATACGCATGGATACTTTATTGTTTTAATCCACATTTTCATTTTTATAGTTTTGTTTCTGTAATTTAGTTGATGTATCCTGTAAGTAATAATAAAAGGCTATAGGTAGCACACTGATGAGTCTCAACCTTTGTTAAAGGAGCTGATGGTACTAGTTGTAATACAGCACCTGTGTGGTGGAGGTAGTCTATTTGACCATGTTGAAAACTCTGCTGGTACATGTGGGTTGTTGGGACACATCGCTTTAAAAATAGGTTAGGTTAATGTGGATAAATGACATACTTGAAAGTTATATTTTATTTCAATAAATTACAACTAACCTAACCTATTTTTAAAGCGATGTGTCCCGATAACCCACAAGTAAAACTCTACTTTTCCATGGGATGCCCATTTTGTAACTACTGAAGATCTTGTTCATCGCTTATGTGGGTGGGGTAAGTACCATACGTGAAAACAGCAGCCATTGTTTTTGCAACCTAGGCATACGCAATTGGACGTAGTCATGTCCACGTGACGAACTCTTGCCAACACTCCAGTTCGTCTTTGCCGGTACATGGAGAAACGATATTTGCTGTTGGTCGTTAAAGGAAAGTCAGGGGTACAACACGCTATGTTCGGCTATTCTCTCCGGGGTTTTGAATTGTATCTCTGGTAAATATCGAATAGCGTAGTTGATCTCGTTAGGTACTAAATTGATTATTTTGATTTCGTGGCAAGCATATTTCAAGGTAGACTACTGTGCCAGAACATGCTTAGAGAAATAAAGGAGCATTACGAGTAAGCGTAGAGTAGCCGATATGTTAACTGGTATTCAAACCAAGGACCTTCATTACGAGGTACCGCTGCATTTAGTTCGCGAAGGTTTCTGGCAAATTTCTCAACTGAGATTATCAACAAAATTTAGTACTGTTGTTGAAAAGGAGTGGTGCATTTCTCATACCCCTGTGGGCTGCGTTTTGAATTTGTGAACTCTGCACTGAGTGTGCACGAAAAGATTATGAGTAATTCTTGCAGCTATGTAGTCAGTCTTAAAAACAACTTCGTATTACGTGTGTTAAGGCAAGAACAGTTTGGTTGCACAAGAGCTGGGTATTGTGTGTTGTATTTCGGGTTTGTATGTGGTAGGGAGATATGCTCGAGAAATTTTTCGGTGACTAATGTTAGGTTAGGATTCGGAGTACAGTGACAGAAATTCTAGTGACATTTCATCATTATCGTTTTTAAAATAATAATTATGAATGTTCATGTCTCCACACTGCGTGTAACACGGCAACTGACACACTTTGAGGCTGAGATTTTGTGTAGGCATATCTAAAAAAAAAAAAAAAGGTAACGTGCACGAAAACTTGTTTCACGAAATAACCCAAGTCAAATACAATGTGCTGCTTATCCCCAGTGTACTATCAATGAGCGAATGAACTTATGTTAACTCCTTTACGTTAGTGCTGCAGCAAGTTTTCTTCTACATCATTCGAAGCAAATGCTCAGCTACGTGTGTATGGTGGTCTGACAGAAAAAGTGTTAAACAGGAAAGATTGCTTTTCAAAAAAATGCTTAAACCAGGTAAGTCTCTTGTTCATAACCTCGTGGACAATACTGTTGTGTTGTAGTAAGTGTAGTCATTTTGTTCTTGGACAAACACATATGCTGATAAATTGTTTGATTTGATATTAATGTCTTTACTGTATTTAGAAGCAACAGGTTAGCCACAGGTGACTATTGTAGCAAGGTCAATGTGCAAATCATGGTACAGTTCCACACAGTGCCATGTTCTAGTTCAAATGCTCCAAAGTGTTTAGGTTTAAATTACCAGAATAAGACCTTTGGTGTAATCTGTAACTTTATTCTGAGTAGTAAATGCCATGGAATTGGAAGAGTTCTTGCTATGTACATTAATTGGATTGAACATATTAATGATGAAGTGTTGTTTAAATTTATAATTTGTAATCTGCAAGTATGAAATGTGCACCTCTGCCCATATTGCTGTTCATTATGTTCCACTGTAAAATTTGCTGTCCATTTGATTATGTAGGAAAGAAAATAAGAGCTGTTGTACAGCAAGTCACAAAGTGTATCATGGATACTGAGAAACTGTGGTCATTTGTATGTAAAGCTCATTAAATTTATGATGAAAGCTGTGTTAACTTTTTGACATACTTAATAACAATGTAAAAAATGTGTTATTTATTAAAGTCTTTTCAGTTATATTTCATAATGACATTGTGCTGATATTTTGAAGTCTTTCTTTGAACAAGAACAGTAAAGCCATATATAGATCTGCTTTGGATGCTGTGTTCCAGGCTTTTTAAATTGTTGTGTATTCCTGAACGTAATCTACATTATGCACATAATTTTTTCACATTTACCTGGATTCCATGTACATGAAGACAGTTCACTTTTTGGCACTGATTGCAAAGTCATAAAAATACAGTAGCTGAAGTTCCATCTCCTAGATGGTGTACTTTCCCATTCTCATTTTATCCTGATAAAAAGGGGAGTAAATTATGATAGGATTATTTGGATAATATTTCAAATGTTAAAGAGAAAACTTATGTTATAAAACCAGAAGGGGAAGTATCACTTGGAAGACTTCAAGGTATAGATGTATTAACATGGGTCTTAAGGCAGTGGAGTTTGAACTAAGTCATCTTACCTAGCTTACAGTGCCGTAACAGGCTTACACACATGGTAATAAATGTACAAGTTCTTAAAAAGAAAGGGAGCTTCTTGGCTAGCTCAGGAACTATCATCTTATCAAGAAGGGCAGTTCTTAATGGGGCAATAAATCTAATGTCATTCATTGCTGAATTACAGTCCAGCACCATGTTTTGTGTGTAGAAGAAGGGTGCCTAATTTGGGGAGGTGTGATATTTTCATGAAGTAGATGGAGACACCTAATGACAAATGTGATAAACTGAAGTTGAAAGAACATGTCATATTTTTGACTGCCTGCCCCCACTTCCACTCTTATCTTTGTTAATAGTGATGTTTTGTTTCTGTTGCTGTCGGGAATCAATATTTTGGTCACAAGTCCAGCCAGCCAGTTGATGTCGATGCTGGCCTTTGGGTAGTAGCACTGTTTGGACTTTGGTTGGAAACATTGGCATCTCCAGGCTATTTCATATTGAATTAACAAAGCTTATAACCACACATACGTGCTATAACCCATCACAAGCCTGTTTCAGTTATTTCAGGAGACTGCCATTTAAACCTTTTAAAAACTGGGTCAAATTTGCCCCAGAAATTTGTTTCTGACAGAGCTGAATCTGGACTTGTTTAAATAGCACAAGCAGTAAATTTTCAAATTATGTTTAATAAAACTTCAGTAGCCTACCAAAGTCCATTACATTAAATTTTCACCTTGAATTTTTCAACAAACATTTTTAAAATTCTGAAGGAAAAAAACCAATGTTGCAGGTTAATACCTGCCCAACACACTGAAAATTTGAAAACAGAATTCTAAAAACATTTCAATGAATTAAATAATATATTAATTGGTCACTATACACAATCTGCATTTAAGCCTTCTGTGTTGATTTCCGTAAGTAATTATTTCATTCCCACATTCGTCACACTTCTGTAGCGATAGTCTACATGTCGTGTTTACTGTTTCCAAATATTTCGTACTTTGCGTACACTTGAGAAATGTGGAATATGTCGTCATAATTCCACGTATCACTCGCAATAAGATATTGTATTCACAAAAATGAACTACAGTCTTTCATTCTGCTTTACAATAGTTTCAGCGGGGAAAAAGACCCTGCCATTTTTCATACGTTCCAATAAACTGGAAAATCATGTAATACTTCACATTTATCTTGAAACGTACTTGAAATATAGTTCATATTAGACAAGTCGTTTTAGTTGTTACAAGCTACTTGGCTATAGTGTGAACGAGGCTTGAGTATAATTCACCCCTTGCAAATAGTAAACAGTACAGGATCGCGGCGGATATCGATTATCTATGATCCCAACCATGCCGTGGTATGGTTGCTGTACTGCGATAGCTCCAAAATGCGATGGAACAGAGAGTAGGTAGTCAAGAGATCTGGTCCTGTTTGCTTAGACGTCGGAAACGCGCTTGCAAAATGTTGATCCCACTGTTTCAGAGAAGCCCCGAAATAAAGTGGCTCTGAAACCCGGTCATTCGCTTATGGACTGGGTCAGGCTCAGTCACTCTGGTGTGGATCTGACGGGGGTGGGCGGTGTGCTTCAGGATGTGACTCCAAAACAGCTGGCCGCACACAGCAAGAAAAACGATGCCTGGATAGCAATTAAAGGTAAAATGATCGCACTCACGTGATGACGCTACCCTTCCATTTGCAGTGACGTTTCATATTTGCAGCATGCTTGTGAGACTGTGAGTGTGTTGGTAGCATACTCGGTATTGCTCTGTATACATACCAACAGCATGTGTGTTCAATAAAATCTTCTCAGGCTATCAGCTGCGTTGGTTGATTAAAAGAAGAATCCAACGTTTCAGGGACTATCTCTGCCCCAATCATCAGGGTTCTGATGTTGGGGACCAATTGATGCGGCTGATTGCCCGAGAAGATTTTATTGGGCCATGTCACCACGAAAGCTTAAAATCATACAGCATGTGCGTTGTGTATACATGCATTAACGTCAGCTTGTCCGCATATTGACTGTGCATCCATGGCATCTATTGGTGGCACACACTTGATGACTGCATGTACATAAAACGTATTAGGGATAGAATAAGTTTGTTTAAGCCTTGAAAGTATATAAACATTTCATTCAGCCCAAATAAGGAAATAAACCATACCTTAATGTCCTAGTAGCTGCTTCTCCCTTGATACTGTTTACACGTCACTGTTCAGAGTTATATTGAGGTGCTTGCTTGCTTCCAGGTAGAGTTTACAATGTGACACATTACATGAACTTTCATCCAGGTGGCGACACAGAGCTGATGCGAGGTGTGGGTCAAGATGGCACAACCCTCTTCAGTCAGGTTGGTCTCGTTACTGGGTCACTTGAGGCAGTACAGAATTTTTCTTGAAATTTGTTGTTTCATGAGACCATCGCATAGGTGGGAAGTTTATGCAGTGAGATTTTTAGGCAGGGTGACTGTTAAGTGAGCTTATGCTGAATGGGGTGTTAATTCAACTATGGATTACAGGCTGGCACACTCATTTCTTTTGAACCTCATGTCGCTTTAACTCCTGCTACCGTACTTGGCCTCGGTCATGTTATTTCTGATTTCAAAATGAATGCATGGAATGTAAATTGGAGCAGAGTGTTGATGTACAATACCTAAGTAAAAGGTGATTCTACGGGGAAAGCAAAGAGAATAATATGTTGTAAGTTTCAGAATGTTGCAGTTTTATAAATTAAGACAGAATTAAATGTTAGTTTTGGGTATTCTCCTTATAAGTTCCTCAGATGCATTGAGTGGAAGGATAGGAGGCTGGGTAGGCCCCAGAGCCAGTCTGGACACAGAGGCTAGAGGAAAAATCCTCTACTCCCGTAGGGGATTGAACCCCGGTCGTCCAGTCCGTAGCCAGTCACTATACTGACTGAGCTACACCGGCTCGTGGTCCCATTAGTGATTGCATTTCTATAGAGACATAGACTCACCCCAGGATAACAAAAAGAAACTTGACTGCTACATCTGGTTTCATGTAGTAAGAGTATCCACATGCGCTATGTATTGCAGCTTTTATGTGACATACATTTTAGGTAATGTCAACCTCAGTGGACTAGTGGTTAGCATGCTCGCCACTGGACCCAAGGTTCGCGGGTTCAATCCCGGCCGAGGTCAATGGATTTTTAAGAGTGATAAAAATCCGTAGCACAACTTTGGAGGGGAAGTAAAGCTGGTGGTCCCATGTCGTACATTTACGGCATGTAAAAGAACCTTACGTGCATGATACGAGATGTTTCTTAAAAACAAATTCAGCTGCCATTTCTCACCCAAGTCTCCTGATTAACTGCTAGATGGCTCTGGCAGTCAAATCAGGATTGAGTAGAAATTGTGCAGAGTCAGTGGGCTAGTCACTCACTACGCTTAAATGCACACTTTAAGAAACCTCCAAAAAAGGAGGCGGCGAAAACCCACAACCGGTTTGTAGAGCCAAGTGACAACAACAAGAACCACTTTATAGGTAATGTTTGCAAACTGTTAGGTTTCGCAGTTCATGGTTCTGATGTTGTATTCTTTGTGATGAGCTCTATAGTAACAGTGTTCCTGCTCCCTGTGGGAAATGTTTTGTTTCTTCCAGAGTTTTATATTTGACCCTTTAAGTCACATGCTTTTCTTTTATTGTACAGATCCATCCATGGGTGAACTTCGAATCACTGCTGCAGAAGTGTCTTGTGGGCCACTTAGTGTCACATGAAAGCACAGGGGCATCACCTGTCCTGAACAAGGCCACAAGATTAATTGGGAAACTGTTCACCAAGAGAGGTAGGCCTTCATTCAACTATGTCATGGTATCCTATCTTGCGGCGTACTCTGATTCAGGGTAAGTTATTGTGGAGAAGGTGGAATGGGGCAGGTTTTCTGCTAAGCTGCTGCCAGTTATCATTCAAGGAATGGTCCATACTCTTCCTAGCAATTGGAACTGCATCATGGATGCTACACCTTATAAATGAATATCTTCACCTCATTGGGTGGGCAGTAAGACTGACTTCTTGGATATTGTATCCTGCAGTTTGACGTAAGTTTACTGACGTTTTTCAGAGGCGCTTACTGGCTTTCGTCAGGGATGATGAGTTCGGCAAGAACCTCTGAAACTTCGGTAAACTTACGTCAAACACGCAGCACATCATCCTAGGAGACGGTCAACTTCATACTTGCCACCATGAGATCCTGAAATGTAACCAGTAAGATTATAATTCGAGACCTGTGGCAGCAGTGTGTCTTTGCCTGTTTATAGATCCTCAAGAGAAGACAGTGTCAATGAAATGGTTTCAGCAGCTTGCTACAGTGAGTCTGCAGTTTTTCACACGCGGGGATTTCCCCCAGACTCGAGTGATGCTATTCAAAAGCCACAGGGACCTTACTGTGAACCTAAAGCTGGGGAATGTCATCCACACGACGCACGTGTTACTAGAGGACAGTGCCTTGTGGCCCTGCAAGGTGAGGACCAACTATGAAAGTGGTGTGGTGGAGGTGTGTCTCACCAAAGCGAGCCCCAACATGTGGCACAGATTGGGTGAACCTCAAGAAGATGATGGACAGAAGAAGGAGATGCTGGAGCAGCTGTATGACCCCATGGAGGTTGTGAGTGTGTCCAGTGTGACCCACAACACCAAGCTAATTGTACTGCGCCACAAACACAATATCATGGATACCATTCCCATCGGCTGCAGTGTGCCAGTGCTTGCCAACATTGATGGTAAGGTATTGTGTTCTTTTTTATGAAAATTTCAATATATAGGAAAGAAACCAAGCGTAGCATTTAACCTTTGTCATAGAAGAGTAGGGAATTTAGATATATATATATATATATATATTCCTGGATCTATTTCCATATTCCTACTAAATACTTTTCTATGTAATTATATTTGAAATAAAATATATTTCCATTATAATCTTTAATATAGTCAGGGCTCTGTTAAAGGAAAGGAGAGTTTTATAATTTCGAAGAGATACACGAATACTAAAATTCCTTCCTTCTTTTCATTTTGTTTTGGCAGAAACAAGTGCTAGGAATTGCCAATGTATTGTCCTTTGCTAGGTATAGAAAACTGCACTTGGACACTGGGACTGTGGGTTTGAATCCCACTCAAGGCATGGATGTTTGTCAGTGTCTTTTTGTGTTGTGCGGCCCTGTGTACAGGTGGAGGCCTTTTGACTGGCTGATCACTCATCCGAGGAGTCCTACCAGATGTCTAAATAGATCAAGAAAGCTCTGAAAGGAGACCCCTACGCTCCACATAGGAATGAAAAGGGTAGAGAAAGAAAGAAAAGTGTAGAAAACCAAAAAATGTGTGACATGAAAGTTATAAATCTCAATTAGATTTGTACTTTATATCATATATGTACCAGTTTTTCATATCATGTACTATTTCTGAGAAGAATTATGAAGTTTGAGTTGAGCTTCAGATAAAATGGAGGTTGAAGATTTCTGTCTTCTGGGTTGTTGCGCTGTGTAGTCTGGACGAGTTAACCAACGTTTCAGAGGTCATACTGCCTCCGTCATCATTGGTTAGCATCGACCAGACTACGCAGCGCAATAACCCAGAAGACGGAAATCTTCATACTCACCGCTGTGAAAACCTCAAATCTTACAAAATAGAGGTTGTTTTACCAGTTCATACCAGAATTCTTTTTGTGTAGATTGTGATACCAGATTGTATTGAAACCTGTTGATTAGTTATGAAGATGGAAAATGCAGATAAACTGATTTGATCTCACCTTTATTTGATTATTTTGTCATGCAGATTATTTGAGTGGTGTGCAGAAATAGGTTGCAACATTAAAATCATGTCCAGTGGATTGCTCTGGTGATTTGGTTTGGACCTTCAAGGTCTATTACCAAGGAGTTTGTTTCATTACTTAGATGTTCTGATAATTAATTTATTTTTGCATTTGGTATTCCCTTCACTTCTAATAACAGGTGTAGATGTGGTGCGTTGTTATACGCCAGTGACCGCAGCGCTCGATGAGAAATTCCTGCCGCCTGGCTGGAGTGAGGACTGCTTGTGCCTGATGGTGAAACAGTATCCTGAAGGTCTGATGAGCAGATTCCTGTGTAGCCTGAAGTTGCAGGATACCGTGAATGTGGGTCAAGCCAGTGGGTCGCTAAAGTTGTCCATGATGGGTGGGAGAACCAAACTGTGCTTGATGGCTGCTGGCTCAGGCTTTACGCCTATGGTGAAGCTTATCATCTGGGCCCTCAGCGCTGGCAACAAGAAGAAATTGTGAGTAGTCTAGCAAAATTGCTGTTGTTTTGTGACAATATATGATGATAACCTTGTAATACTTGTTAAAAGTGCTTGAAGTAGCTCATAGTAGAGCATTTTGCCATCACTATAGGTGAAATGAAGTTACAGAACATAAGTGTTCCTATTTTATGAGTTTTGTGTCAGCGCATTACACAGACGAGTGTCATGTGGTATATTTTATGAACGTCTCTGCCTTTGGTTAAGTTGCTAGGTGGTCACAGTTGTTTTTATAGTGAACAATGCAATGTATGCCCACAACTGTTTGATTGCTTGGCAGTTGTTTAATTCGTAAAGTAATCAGGGCTGTGACAGTGAATTTTTAAAAGATATGTGATGTACAATTCTTCGGCACATTCGTTATCCTCCCCTCTCGTTTTTTTCCAATGTATCTGCCTGCCTGTGCGTATATGTAGATGTGTTAGTCTGCATGTGCATTAGAGAAGTTGTCATAATGCACAAGATATTTTATCATTTGAGGACAGTTTACTTCAATGAATGATGAATATTTAGTGAATCGTTAAGGCCGTGGAAATAATTATCCTTGGTCACCTTCTTTAGACATCTTTTTCTGAGAATATCTATTGATTTGTGAGGTTTATGTATTTAATCACACTTTCTTCATCTGCCTCTGTCGAGGGTATAAATTTCAGAATGTCGGAATACAAAGCCTCCGCCGTGGTTCAGAGTCATCTCTGTCAAACATATTTGAACTGATTTGGTGGAAGAACATTTTGAAAATTTCTTTTATTCTGGCCGTACAGTGTGAATTTGTTTATATGTAATTCTGTCCATACCAGGAGCAGCAGATGTCTGGTAATTGTTACATCTAGGCAGAAGGGTATTTTATTGTTCAAGTGAACTTATTTGTTTTGACGTAAATACGTCTATACGGAAGGGTCATTCAGCAAAAACAGCGTTAGTTACGAAGATGTGTAAGATCCAGCGCTGAGTCACCTTTAAACGTTCATTCCTCAGGAATGGTAAGAGTAAGGGTAATGTAACCAATATGTAAAATGATCAGTGAATAAGGCCCTTTAAGAATCTGTAATGTATTTTATTGTAATTATAATTGTTTATACATTTATTGTAATTTTAATGAACCAATGTGTACAATTTTCATTGCATCTGTCGCGTTAAGTGCCCACCTCTCGAGAACCGTAAGAGATGGATCAGGACATATTGCGTACGAAATATGTATTATCTATTGATCTTTCCATATCTGTTTTCAGATTTTACATACCACAAATGGTTTAGGTTTTACAAACATTTATTTATACAAATAAAGGCGCATCACACTTCACGCTACTGCTGCGTTTGCGTATTTACGTCAGATTCTCCGGAACCGTGGTTCCACTGTCAATTTTTATGCATTGCAAAAGGACCGATGGCTGCGTAGTGCATGGAAAAGGGGGGGGGGGGTGTTTGTTTTATTTGTAGAAATTCTGCAGAGATGTTAAATAAATGATTATACCATGAAGTTCCACAGTCGTTACATTGTCTATGAAATATTTGTTCCAGCCAGGAAGTGTGCCTTCTTTTCTTTAATATGACAAGCAGAGACATCTTGTGGCAGGATCAGTTAGACAGACTTGCAGCCACAGATGCAAGGTATGTGGGCTTTCTCTCTGTGTCATGTTTGAAGGACGAGGCTGTCAGGATTGTGGGAGACAGGTGTAATGATGTTGAAATGTTGGCTACAGATTCTCTGCTGCATATGTATTGACGGCACCAGATGACGACTGGTCAGGGCTGACGGGCCATCTTAATCTGGAGATGTTGCAGACCGTGGTGCCTAGCTTTATTGAACAAAAGACTCATGATACCTTTGTGTGTGTCTGTGGTCCTGATTCATTCAGGGAGTCAGCCATGAGGTAAGTACTTGAATAAATTTTTCTTCAGGGAACATGGGCCTAATGATGAATCTTGTTGCATTGTGGGAAATGCTATAAAGAGATGTGGATGTTATTTAATCTTAACATACAGTTTTAATTGACACTTATAAGGGGACACTGTATTAACCCTTCAGCGTGGGAGCATTTAAATCCCAAGTCTATACCGTGCTGTGGGAGGAGTTTCTGCTTGGGGATTTAATTTTGAGCTGAAAGTGCATCATTTTACTTATATGGGCACAACTTCCCTAATAATTGATGAATTTTAGTGAAACTTTGAACAAAATGTTCACAACACACTATGCTTTATAGAAAGGTAAAAAATTTACCTTAAAAGTTGAGTTTTGTGTGGAATATCTTGAAACAGCCACACTCGGTAAACTGCTCCCACTTTGTTCACCGTCATTGTATTCATTTTCAGATTCGTCACATGTAAGAAATTCACGAACAGATTACACTTGATTCATCATCTGAATCGAACACGCTACTTTCGGAATCAGTGAGAGGTTCGTCTACACTTCTAGCAATGTCTTGAGGAGACAAAAAACGCCTGCTACTCGAAGCCATATTCACGGCTGACTGACGGCAGATATGTACTATAGAATTCTGTTCTTACCAAGGGGAGAACAGAGAATGCATTGACTAAGGTCGTTGACATCATATACCGTTAGAAAGGTTGGAATGTGTCCCACACAGCCGTCGAAACCTTAAATATATTACTCCATTTGTCTTCCCTAGAGAGAGCCACAAAGCAGAGGCTGAATGCAGTTGAGTTCAAAAATCGATCTATGTTTCAAAGTCGAAAAACACTGGTAAAATCGATCTGTCAGAGTCATGTTATATATCAATCGATAGCCAGATTCTTTCTCTACACGGCTACTGGAGCCAGAATACATAAAGTACAAGGTCAGTCGCTACGTAGAAGGAGAAATCTTAGCGCGCTTTGTGCGAGCAGTGTTCGGCACTCCACGCCATGGGTCGACTACGTCATGACGAGCGATGTTCGGCACTCCACGCTGAAGGGTTAATTTGATTAAACATGAAAACCCTATCCATCGTTCCCTGAACTGTAGTTTTCCCGGATGCATAGTCTGTTTTGTTCAGTCCCTGATAAGTCCCACATAAAATAATGTTACATTTTCTCGCTTTTATCATTCCTCGAACCTTTTATCATTTTTAATGCTTTCCCGCAACTGTTGTTTTCCCGTATTCATTGTTTTTATTTTTCTCCCCGTCCAAAACGATGCATCGAGGTTTCACTGTACTATAAGCACAACAGACTTTTTCTTATTGTGGACACTCGCCTGATTTACATCTTTCCAACTTGTTTTGAACTCTGTTCCCCATAGTTTCAACACTGCAGATGATTTTACAATCTTTGTAGTGATGCCGGTCATGTGAAACATGACAGTCATTTAGAGATGATTGGGACTTTCCTGTAATGTAGGCTGAGAGATGATGATGCCGCATAATTCCACTTCAGCATTCCACGTGCTCCCCACTGAGGTCAGTGCACTGTTGCCATTTTTCTGGTAACTTCTTGTTGAATGCAGCAAATTAGTCATTGGGGATAGCACACACTGACTTGCAGACACTGCTGTCCAAGCTGTCATAGATGGGAAATCGGCTGCTGCACGATGGATCTTTCATCTTGTCAGACGGCCTATAATCTGAGGGGCCAGATGTGGTGAATGTGACGTACCTGGTACTATATTGAATTCAAGGGACACCAGCGTCTGTGTTATTTGGTGACTCGTATGGAACGTGACATTGTCGTGGAGCATCAACACTTTTTATACGCCTATTTGTCTTTGTGCCATTGCCGGATTCTCCGACAATGATTGGTTGATGCCGCAGTAAATGTCGCACACTCGTCCTCCATGATCTTCTTGGAGACACGCTGCACGTTTGTCGGTGCTGACTCAATTCTACACACTCTTGATTCTGCTATTGAAGGCCACAAACCATTGGAAGACTTCTGCAGCTAGGTGCTGCTTTGCCACAGCCCACCCTGTGCCGTCGGCAAATGTCAGAAGCTCGTACTTCTTCCTTGCACAGGTCTAACGTTGCCCATGACAGTTGCTGTCAGTAACATGTCCGCTGATGCAACTGATCTTATGAAATTAACTTGCTGCAGGACACTGCCACCTACTTGCATAGTGAATGGTATAATACAGTGTTGCCAATAGTCCGTCGTATCTGAACAACCTTAATTTTTAGTAAACTTTGTCTCATTCCAGAAATTTTTGCCCTTTGGAACTTGGAATGATTGCCCATATTCTTTGGGATTCTTGAGGGTCTTCTGGTGTCTTCAATGTTCATAAATTCTTCCTGCCCTGGAACTTTCTTTCTGGTACATAATTCCAGTTTTAAATTACATTTTCAGTAACCACTTTGCTAAAGTATTCCATATGAACCACAGACTATTCTGTTACTGCAGATGATGAACTCTGATTCATTAGTCAACGGAAATTATTTTGTTGCAGAAAGAATTTTAACTTGCCAAATTTTGTGTAGTAATTTGAGGTTGCAATTTTAGTTCACATGAATACAGTATTTAGTTGGCCTCTGTTTTCACATAATTTTAAATTAAAATAAATGGTGAACTTACTTTAATTTATCCACTTGTTTTGATGCTTAAATATTGCATCCTTGGTACTGCAGATAATCTCCTATGTCTGTACTGCAAGATGTCATGAACCATATGTTTCAAAGGATTGGTGATTTTTCAGAACCGAGCATTTTCTTACAGGTTACTGGGGGATATGGGCTATCCGGAGGACTTCTACTTTGTCTTTCAAGGCTGAGTGTCATCACAAGTCATATATCCCTGGTGAGTTCACAGTGGCATTCTGGATCGTTGGTCATGTGACAGTTTTTTGGGCCACATTGCCTGGTAGGAGTAGTGCCAACCGTCATACCTCTTGGGATATCAGACGATGGTAACATTAGAGGAAGAGGTTAAGAAATGGATTGAAGCGGTGATGATGGCATGTTGTCATCTGTCCTGAACATGAAGGTGAGCTTGGTTTTTGTTGAAGAATGCAGGAACGATACCTTCACAGAGATGGCTCCAGTCCTGGTCTCGGCCGACTGATGTCACTATCGCCTTACAACCTGCATGCTGGCAGTCGACAACTCTGCGATCTTCTGTGCTCTACAGTCTGGCAAGGGACATACTTTGCAACAAAGTGACATTAAAATTGAAGTACCTATAATGGTTCAGAATAAAATCATTGAGAGACTTTGTCCTCATCAGTCACTGGCTGCCTTCTGAAGGAAACCTGGCATATCACTTGTCTTGAGGACTACTCGCCACCTAAAATACATGATCACCAGGGTCAGTCATGTCAGAGGCATCCAGGGAGCAAAGTACCATTTTTAAATAACTATCTTCATGGTTCAAAGTTCTTCAGAAGCTGACAGTCACTCAGTTGAGAAATTCCCTGATGACAGAGGCAGCACAGACCTCTGAAACGTCAGTGAACTTCTCCCAGACTACACGGCACAACAACCCAAATTTCCTGTCATTTATGCAGTCCAGAGGTTCATTAGTTTGTTCTCAAGTGTCCGCCACCATTTCCTGCTCCGAGTCGGATGAATCCTCACCCTTTCACCCTATTTTCGTAAGATCGGTTTTTAATATTATTTTCTAGTTATGTCTTGTTCTTCTTAATGGTCTCTTCCTTTCAGGCTTGCCATCCAGAATTTCTTATATCCCATATGCCTACTGCATGTTTCTTGATTATTGTAAATAATTAAACTATCAATAAAATAACCTTGTAAAAATGTGTATTATAGTAGTGCAGTTATTATGCAGAGTGATGGAATTTAACATTTCCATTAGAAGAGCAGTTAAATTTTATTAGAAGTGCTGTTTGAATAGAATTTAATGTCTCTTTATTTATACAGAAGCTGTTATACTAGGCATCGAGGGAACCAGAACAATCCATCCATTTCAGGATCCAAGAATAAATGAAAACAG